TCAGCACCTCCCTCTCCACTTGCCCTCAGGAAGCTGCAGAGAGCAATGAGGTCTCCTCTCTTTGCTCTATTGCTCCTGTTGTTCAAAGGAGGCAAGCCCAGGGTTCTCAGCCACTCCTCACAGAACACTCCTCCTGGCCTTTTCACCAGCTTTGTTGCCCTCCTCTGGACACATTCAAGGATTTCAATATCCTCGTTGAACAGAGGGGCCCAGCCCAGAGTACAGTGGGATGATCACAGTAATAATCTCCTTTGCTGTCTGGGGCATCCTGGANGCCAGGAGTACAGTGAGCTATTGCACAATCTTGGTGGGAGGTTTGCAGGTCAGTGCATGATGCACAATTTCTCTGGTGCTGTTTAACACCTGCCTGTTGCTGTGTAGTGAGCTGGAGCTCAGCCTTGTCCCTGTGCTGAAACACAAACCCACTTGTRGCCAGCTCCATGTGGAATAATGTGCTGGGAAGGAGCTGGGCAGGATGAGACCTTTCTCAAGGGAGGAAACACAGTTGGTCATTTGCTTGTTCTAGAAGAAGAGAGATGGGGCTCTTTGGATCTCACTATAGGCTGCATATTCCACACAGCAGCCTCTGCTCTCAGTRATGTGGTGTGCAATGTGATCCTCCCTCACTGGTGAGCCTGGTAGAAGCACATCCCATTTTCCATTTGTTTATTTATTTATYATCTTGCTCTCAGCCTCTGCAAGGTTTGATATAGGTATAGAGCCTGGGAAACRTACACAGAGTGGAGTAACAGATAGTTGTGATTTGGCTACAAGGCAATAATTTAAGTGGACAGGTTTWGCTGATAATATATAAAGCACAYGAGAGAAATCTCTTTGGTTTATAAATGTCAGCAGAGCCCCTGCGAGTGAGCTGCTGCCTGGTGCTGCTGCTCCATCTAATACATTATAAGGAGATATAAACAGATGTCTGAAAAAATCTGGCTGACCAAGATTAAAAGAACGGGGCTATAAATTAAAGTCTTCCTCGGCGTCTCTTTAAGCAACTTTATGGACAGAGCACATCAAATAAAAYGACTGCTAATGCACGGAGGGATCTCAGGGGTTTGGGCATGTGGCAGCACCCAGGGGTGGGGATGGTTTGTGGGGCCAGCACTGTAAGTCAGAGCTGCCRTGGGAGACCAAAGCCTGACCTGGTGCTTCTGCAGCTGATAAAGGGATTAAATCAAGAACAGGAATAACACCATCCCAGCAGTGTTGCCACAGGATCAGTGTCTCCTATTTGGAAAATAAATGCTGTCTCTCTGCTTTGACATTTATTCCCAGTAAAGACCTTGTCGTTTGTGCGGTGACAAGGGTTTATCCTCTGCAGTACTTCACCTGTTGGACACTGTCTTTTTGCCTGCGAGGCAGCTGAGTGATTGAGGGGTAGGTGGGTGGCACGTCCCCAACAGGGGCACTGGGTGCTCTGCTCAGACCCCTCTGCTCAGTGGCTTTCTCTAAGATCCATCATCCCAAGGCTATGCAATAATACATATTCAAACAGAAGGAGAATGTTCAGGTTAGATATTAGGAAGGAATCCTTYCCTGTAAGGATGGGGAGGCCCTGGCACAGGGTGCCCAGAGAAGCTGTGGCTGCCCCTGGRTCCCTGGCAGTGTCCAAAGCCAGGCTGGACATTGGGGCTTGGAGCAGCCTGGGATAAGTGGAAGGTGTCCCTACCCATGGCAGGGGATGGGACTTGAGCTTTAAGGTCCTTTTCAACCCAAACCATTCTAGACATCTATGATTCTGTGATTTTATTTTAAATTTATTTTAATTTACTTTAGTTGTGGTTAAAAAATCCCAAGAGCAGGATATTTTTTAAGTTGTAAGGAGTACAAACCAGTTGTAGGGGCAGGAGTTTGCTACTTCCCCCTTCACAGCTGTAGCYCTGCTGGCAGGTTTGTGGAGAGGCTTTCACAGCTTTTTCTACTCACTGGGTAGTTGATTTAGAGGTGGGAAATTAATTAGAATGGAAACTCTTCTTTCCCTTTATGAGGAACAAGGGATGAGGTGTAGCAGCTGTAGGATTTGCAGCTCTCAGGGAAGTGGGACCATTCGGTAACACATCTATGCAGTGCCTACCTGTGGGTGCACATCTTGTATTGGTCTGAGGTGTCAAGGAGAAAAAATCTTACAAAATGGCTTAAATATAAATGTGTTTTTATATTTTTTAATTGAGTTTCATTTCCCAAATGCAGCTTAATGCAAACAATGAGTAAAAAATTAATTTCTCTCGGGAAAAAGCTATTAACAGAATGATTCTRTTTTAGCAGCATGTGAAGCTGTGTAATTGCTTACATATGTATTGCTCCAGTGTGTGCTCCCAGTTGTTGAATAGTATCAAATTATAGGAATCAAAGAGAATTAACTATTTTTAAGGGAAATGTCCAGAAGCTACATATTGAAACATGATTAAAATTCAGAATTTCCAGCTTACTCGTCTAAATCAGCAATTTTAATCACATTATTCGCGTCAACCCACCCTCAAAGACACTTTCTGCTTCAAAACATCCCAAACTAAATAAGACAGAAGACMTTCCTTGAACAGCTGTAATGTTTTCAAGTGACAATGTCAATCTTTTTGTTGAAAACTGAGCTGTTTTTCATGGTTTATTTATTAAAGCAGTGCCTTTGTCCTGCTGTGCCATGAACCTGGGCTGCTGTGCAGAGCAGGGAGGAGAAATCCCTGGAGTGTTGAGAGCTGCTTAAACGCATCAAGGCTGAGATTTTTGCTCTGGGCTTTGGAYGCTCTTGGTCCAATCTCATTTAGTGTGTGAAGCAGGAGCAGGAAGGGGTTGTTTTTCACTGATGGCAGCCTCTGTGATTTGGCTGTGTGGGGTGTGGGGCTCGTGCGCACCAGGTCCGTGTTTGGTGTAATTTACTGCTCACTGAGCATGGGGGGCTGAGCAGGGGTGCCCCAGCCATCCAGCCCTTCTGGAGCCTGCTCCCCTGCTTTCCCTTTGGATGATTCTCTCAAGCAAAGCCCATCCACCTCTTTCCTCTCCCCTGGCAACCGGGCAGCTGATGTGGCCGGGTGCAGCAGAGCGCCCTGTGCTGTGCTCCTCTGACAGGGGCTGTTCGTGTCTCTGTGACAGCCCAGAGCTGCTTCAACCCGTGCTGGGGCCGTAACCTGGCCAGCCCAGTGCTGGTGACACAGCCAGAAAGCCACTGGCTTGGGGAGGGAAGCACCCAGCTCGCCCCTCACTTTCCCCCTGAGCGTGTTCGTGTGTGCGGAGGAGGAGATCGTCCTCCCGTGTCCATGTGTGCAGCATGCTATGACATTTTTTCTAGAACTGCTTGACTTGGAAGGGACCTTAAAGCTCATCCCGTTYYACCTCCATGCCATGGGCAGGGACACCTCCCACTAGRCCAGGCTGTCACTGGCTGTGTTTTCCTTGCTCACAGAGCCCTGTCTCAGTGTCTCCTGAAACAGGGACAGGAGATGTGACATTGCCCTTTTCATGGAGATCATACAAACTCTTTTCTGAGCAGCCTGTCCCAGCTCCAGTGCCAGCAAGGGGCACGCTCGGTGATGGCACTGGGTTCCTGCAGAGCCCAACTTCCCAGCGTGGGAGGATGCTCCCATGGATAGACACAGATTAAAGGTCCTGTGTATCACAAGTTYAAGGAGCAGAGGAGGTTGGGATCTGTCCATGGGAAGCATCCAAGTGGGGAGGAGGCATATCTAACCTGTCCTCCTGTAGTTTAAGATGGGATGATAATCACATCTGTCCTCTCACATATGCAATCAATGCAGCTTCCAATGGATAGGATGTGATGGAGAGGAATAGGGTCTGTCGGAAATGTGAACCTTTTTTTAATAGGAAATCCTCCAAGATGGATTTTTCTGGTTTTTCTAAATGCATTTATACCTTCTATATGGCTACAGGCTTTGAAATGTTTCTGTCTGAGTTGTGACAAACATCCCAGACTCATGTAGGAAGCACCAGGTCCTTTGATCAGGAAAATATCTCTTTGGTCTTGAACAGGGAGGGATCATTCCAGTTGTTCCCGAGATTAGAGCTTTTTGYCTTTGAGTACATGTTTTTATTGTACAAAATAATAACCCTTGTCTTCAGTTCCCTTTGGTGGGRGATGCTCCCTGTCTCCTGCAAGCTGGTATTCTGTCCTAGGTATCTTTTTAGGTAAAAGGATAGAGAGGGRGGAAAGGCTGAGTAGGGAATTCTCCTCAAAGGGAGGAAGGTGAGCAGCTGTGTGTCTGTCTGTCCATCTGTGAGCAACTTTGTGAGCTCTCAGCAGCTGCAGCCTGSCTGTCCTGGATATTAGGATATTCCTGCATTAGAAAACGTGCCATTTAGAAGTAGCAACCAAATACTGCCTTCTCTCCAACCCAGTGCTGGACTGGCCATATTGAGATGTGTTTGTGGTGAACTGTGGCCAAGGAAAAACACTCTGAATTCCCTATCTTTTCTGCATTTAAACCCGAAATTTAATGTATTCTGTGTATTTTTGTTGGCAGATAGCAGTGATCATAAATTCCTTTTAATACAGTATTTCCACACCAACACAGCCTTGATGTGCAGTGTACCTGGCTGTACTCTGCAGGATGCTTTGATTTCCCCTTGGCAGCTGAATTTTATTCTGTCTGCCCCAATCAGCAACCAATTCCCCTTTCTCCATGTAGCCTCCAAATGCACTCCTGATGTGGAATTTTAGCGCTGTCCTAGGAACTGGGCTGGAAGGGAGGAAGGAAAGTGTCTGCTGGGTTCAGGGTTCCACCTCCACTGTGGGTCAGAGCCGGTCTGGCAGCACAGGGATGCATTTGGTGGCTGGGGGTGGTATTTCTGGGAGGGTAAAGCAGCACTTCAGGGGTGCTGCTGGGGGGGAGGGGGGTCTCTGGTGGATATCCCACTCCTCACGGTGTGAGATGGAGCTTTCTCYCCTTGTCTCAGGGAGCATGTGCCTTCAGCTAGCTCCCAGTTCCTCCCAAAGCTGGAAGAGTGCATGTGTTCTGAAGTGACCTGACCTTTGTTTGTAGGTCAGGCTGTTCCTGCAGGGTCCCACGTGCGGCTGAACCTGCAGACAGGAGAGAGAGAAGCCAAGCTCCCAGACAGGGAAAACGGAGAGAGCGACACGAGAGAAGAGAGAAGAAGGAAAAGGTACAGACAATGCAAGGCATTGGGGTGGGTGGGCTGTGGCATTCATGYCTTTTATTAGAGGCCAGGTTCCCTGGTGCACTCAATTACTGTCTCTTTCTGAGACTTAATTGCTGAGTTAGGAGCTCAGCAGTGCTGAAAGCAGAGCCCTGTCCTTTGTGATCCCTTTAGGATGGTGGTGGAAGTGCCCTGGGTGCTCATTCAGACACCTTCATGGCTTCTCATGCCATGACACCGAAACTAAATTGGCAACGTGRCTTCTTTGAATGACATGTAGTCCTTTGAAATGTCTGCAGTGACTGGGTCTGGCACTGCTTTCTAAGCCCAGCCCTGGCAACAGCGGTGAGGGGCTGAGTGCTGGCCTGAGCTAGGTGCTGTATTCTGGCTGGGAGCAGCCTCCAGCCTCCCCTGCACACCAGGCACTGCCACAGTCCCTGGGGACCACACCACCATCCCTGCACCCACCTRTGTAAATGTGCTTCCAAAATGTGCTGCTGCCTTTGCCCTTGGAACCCCTCTAACAAAGRCTGCTTTAGTTCCTGGGGGGGATTTCATTCCTGAAGCATGTGGGATTTCCCTCTGCCACCTGAGATGGGGATGTTCAGGGAGCAGGGGGGTTGGGGGGCAGCTGCCTGGGCAGGGGCTGGGCTGGGGCACCTCTTGGGCCACAGGCAGTAATACAGTGGGCTTTTGTGTCTCATACAATCCGGGCCCAGGGCAACGCAATGCAGGGGGGAAGCAAAGCCCAGGGCCTTTGGAGGCTCCAGGCCTTAAACATCAGCCCCTACAGCTCCCCAGATTCCAGGTCCTGCAATTCCCAGTGCTGTCATAGCCCTCAGAGCAYGAACTGGGGTTTTGCATCTCTGTGACCTAATGCTGGCTCTGTATGCAGGAGTCCCTTTGGCTGCAGCAGGAAGGGTGGCTGAAGGTTTCCTGCCTGCTTTGGTGGCATCACTGCAGAGGCTGCTCCTGTCAGAGCCCCCTCTGTGCTGGTGGCAGCTTTGCTCTTGGGGACAATGCTCTGCCCCAGCCCAGAAACACAAGCAGGGCCCAGTGCTGGGAGCGGTGCCAGTGGGACCCCCCTGTGCACAGGGACCCCCAGCCCCAGGATAGCCGTGCCAGCACCCCCAGGGATCTCCAACCCCGAGAACCATTAACAAGTGGAATCCTTAACAATTCTCAAAGGCTGCCAATGCCCCAAGGAATTGCAAAAAGAAGTGGGGTTTTCAAAATTGAAACAGTCTAAATTTAYAGAAGATCAGCAAACCTTATGATTTCCACAACGTCTTTCATTATAAGAATTTTTATAAAAACAATCTACAGAAGGTATTTACATGAGAACCTATAGACTAACAATCTTCCAAACATTTACAGAAGCCCTGTAACTGGTAGAACATATTTATAAAAAAACATAGAACAAGTAGAATGTATGTACAGAGGGGTCACATCTGTGGCCAACAGGTCCTGGAAGAGAAGGAAGTGGCACAGTCACTCCAGAGTGGCCCTGAGGGCTGTTCCCTGTGCCCCCAGGCTGGCACTCGCTGGCACAGCAGGACTCTGCTGCCAGCACTAAGCCTGACTGGGGCTGAGAGCCAGGCCCCAGGCATTGGGGCAGGGATGGGGCTGGCGTGGTCCACAGCGAGTGCAGGGCAGGCTGGGGGTGATGCTTGTGCCCCCAGAATCCAGGGCTCCCCAGGGCACCGTGTCCCTGAGCGGGGCCACCCAGCCCAGCCCCAGCCTGGTTCCAGGGGATCCACTGTGCCYGTGGGCAGGGCATGGGGAGCRCCTGCCTGTGCTGCYRCTGGAGGCTCCATCCTCACCCTGGGATCATGGGCTYCTCCTCATCCTCCTCATTGACCWCTGTGTTCTCAGTGTCGTCCTGCATGTCCACCTCCATCTCCTCGATGTCCCCCTCCTCATCAGCTTCCATTTCCTCAACCAGATCTTCCTCATCCACTTCTACCCTTTCTTCTGCATCCCCCRCCATGTCCTGGTCCATCTCCTCTGCGGTGTCCGTGGCAGGGAGCACAGCCTCAGAGGGGGTCCCTGTGCCACACCATCCCCCAGGGCTCCAGCCTGGCCGGGSACTCGGGTGGTGTCCAGCTCCATGGAATGGCCCTGTACCTCCACAGGAGGGCAAATCCTGCTGGGATCAGCACTTCCTGCAGGCAGCAGGGCAGGTCCGGGCAGCAGGAGCAGCTCAGCACCCACGGACACAGTGAAGAGAGAGCCAGAGTGACTGCTGGCAGCGGCTGAAGGGTCCATTGTGGTGGTTTGCAAGTCCTGGACATTGCATGGGGAATATTCTGGGACCTGTGATGTCATGGAAGTTTCAGGTCCACTCTGTAGTGGRAGATGGGGATGGCTGCAGGATGAAAGCCTTGAATGGTTTGGATTGGAGGGGACCCTAAAAATMATCTGGTTCTGGTTCCAAGCTGAGCAGCCTCCCACATGACCAGGTTGCTGTGGACCCTGTCCAAGCTGGCCTTGGATGTTCCCAGGGATRGGGCATCCACAGCCTCTGTGCCAGGGAGCACCAGCCTCACAGTACAGAACTTCTTCCCATYATCAAATCTATTCCAACTATCCATCAGTTTGATCCTATTACTCCTTGTCCTGTCACTACAGTGGGGAAGAGTCGCTCTCCTGATTTCCTGGAGCCCCTTCACACACTGGAAATGTGCTGGGAGGTCTCCTCACAACCTTCTCTTCTCCCAGCTCAACAGTTCCAACTTTGTCAGCCTTTCCCCATAGGGAAGGTGCTCCAGAACCCTCAGCAACTTCATGGGCTCCTCTGGCACTCAACAGCTCCCATGGGAACACCAGGAGACACATGGGGGTCTCCAACAAACAACCCRTGGAAGGCCCTGGCCTTAGGAATTGCCAAAGGCTGGGAGCTCTGAGGATCCTAAAGTTATGGAGAGAGGAGGAGAAAATGAACAGRAGCAGTGCAGGGAGCCCAAATCACTGAGCCAGAAAGCTGATGATGCTGGATGTGTGTGCAGTGTTTGGAGGGTTTAATGATGCCCCTGGAATGTGTTCCAGCGCTGTGGGGATGTTTCTGGTGGAGGAAGTGCAGAGGAACATTTCTGATCAGTGATGTGTAGGAAATGATCTTTGGTAGAGGTAGAGGTTGAATTTTATGGAGATGGGAAAGGAAGGAGATGGTTCAGTTTCTGGAAAGGGAAGCTGAGCTGCCCCATCCCTGGAAGTGCAAAGTGCTGCTGGATCATGGATCTGTTTCTGGGGGTGCTGGCACAGCTCCAGGGCAGGGGTTCCTATGCACAGAGGGGTCCCACTGATGCCACTCACAGCACTGAGCCCTGCTTGTGTTGCTGGGCTGAGGCAGAGTTGTCCCCAAGGGCAAAGCTGTCCCCAGCACAGAGGGGGCTCTGACAGGAGTGTCCCCTGCAGCGATGCCAYCCAAGCCTGCTCATCTCCTGCTCAGGGCACGGAGATGATCTTTAGTTTCACAATGCCTCAGCTGCTCAATTTCCCTTTTTTTTCTGTGCAAGAGTGYTTGTGGCCCAGACAAACACTCCTTGAACCTACAAGAAAGGTATAAAGATCAACACAATTTGTTTTTTAGAATTTCTGTGTAATTTTTGTGTGAAATTACCCTTGCCCTGACTCTGTGTACAATGCTCATCAGACTTTCAGCTGAAATCTCCAGGTTAAAGCTTGCAAGCCCTTAACAATGATTTAGTGGCATTAGGGTGCTYAGTGTATTGCAACATGAAATTCCGAAGTATAAATTTGTCAGCTACTTTTTTTCGTGTTAGGATTTGTGATTTTGGGTCAGCGGGCTGATTGCAGAGCCCTTGATTGTCAGCACTCAGATAAATCTTTTCTTGAACATGGTGGGGTTTTGCATTCCTTTCCTCCTGCCCTTAGCCRTTGCTAGAATGTCACAGTGAAAATAGAATGGAGGCAGTTGTTCACTCATAACATGGTCTGCTTTGTTTTGTTTCTTCCGCAAGGCTGGGCAAGGTCGATGTCAATGCAAATTCATTCACATCCCAGGAGCTCAAAAAGGCCTTGGCTAAAATGAAGGAAAGTGAGAARGCAGAAAGGAAGGTGAGTTTCCTGGTTCTGAAGCAATGCACAGTGCAAGGATGTGAACAGATCTGTTACACATTGCAGAAATACAATGGTTAAAGTGATTGCTTGGCAAACACTGTGCAAACGAATCTTGTGGTGAATRTGGACCTAAAATACCTTTTCTAACCTGTTAGTGATATTGTTCATTGGCTTTTCTGTATGATTCTGTGATTCTGTGAATGGTTGGGGTTGGAAAGGACCTTAAAGCTCCTCTCATTCCACTGCCTGCCCTGGACAGGGACACCTTCCACTATCTCAGGTTGCTCCAAGCTCCATCCAGCCTGGCCTTGGACACTTCCAGGAATCCAGGGGCAGCCACAACTTCTCTGGGCACCTCAATTTATCTGTTCCACTGCTGCTTCATKCACAAAAATGTCTGCAGAGTCCAGAGGGGCCTGGATTGCAGCTGATGGTATTTACAAAGGGAGTTACTTTCCCTTTCACCATCTTCCTCACATTCTGTTTCCAGCCTCATGCCCTGGACAGCAAAACCCAAATGGCCATGGTGAAGCATGGGCTGAAGGTCCCTTACACAAGCTCCAAGTTGTCCTTTTAGTTACAAACAATACACAATCCAAAGTAAATAGGAGGGGTGCTGTGTGACTCCTCATGTGGATCACAGCCTCTTTCCCCTCTCCCCTCAGCAGCATTTCCTCACTCCTCCTGCTGCCTTGGTGTTGGCTCAGTCAAAGCAAAACTGACAGAGGAGTCAARGCTCTGAAGTTTTGGGGTCACAGAAAGTTTTATTCTCCCCTTATGTGGCAGCAGGGCATGATTTCATTTGCTGTGAGATTATTTCCATAATAATCAGCATTGCTGATTAATTGCAGGGCTGTTGGAAATGAGGTTCATTGAAATGCAAAAATTAGTGATACTCTATTAGGTGAAAATAAGCCATATTTTAAAATCCCRCGTTAGAATTGCTTTTGTCCCAGCAACTGGGCTAAAAGCAGCTACATCTAATGGACCTAAAGGATTCCATTTACAGTCACTCCTGCAGAGAGCAAATCCATCCTTGAAGGACCTGTGTCAGAGGAAATTGAGTTCCTCGGAGCATGTGGCCCTCTGTGCTCAGCAAAGGCAGAGCTTGGGGTGCTTGTGGTGGGGATGGTGTTGAGTGTGGTACCTGTGGTGATTAATCCTTACACTGACAGGGCTTTTAATCATTACATTGACASAGCTCTCACTGCCATTGCTCTCTTGCTTTTCTGCTGAAGCGCTTGGTTTCTGTTCCCACATGGGGATCAGGACACGTGCAAGCCCTCGAGGTGGAGGTCACTCTGGGCATAAACATATCTTGGTATTTGTGTTTGTAACAAATCCCTTTCAAAGGGGCTTTCTGCCTTTCTCCTGCCCTCGGGGCAGCCAAGCTCCAGCCTGCTCTCTGTGCTTGCTCTGTGCCCTGCAGCAGCAGGCTCTGTCCCCAGTGCCACCAGTGCTGATGTTGCTGTGCCTTTGGGGCTGTCTCAGATCTCTGACAGATCCTCTCCTTCTCAGGATATGTTTTGTGTCATSTCCCTTGGTTCAGGGCAGCCCTYGGGGTGCTGTAACTGCRAGGGAGATGAGCCGTGCTCAGGACWGGCTGTCTCCTGGCCAAGCCCTGTGGCACAGCTGCCCCCAGCTTATCCCTGCTCCTCCTGCTTCCCTTTCTGACAGCTCCTGTCCCCACACCTTTTCCTGGGAGATAGAGMCATCCTGGAATGTGTTCAATGCTTGGAATGGCAAAAGCATCTGTGTCTGTGTCTGAGATCTCCTTGATGTCACTGGCATGAAGTCACTGGGCACTTCGGGCTGGGTGGGACCTCTGGAGCTCTCCAGCCTTATGTCCAGTTCCAGAGAGGTTCAGCTCTGGGATCAGGGAGGTGGCTCAGGGCTTTTTGCAGGCAGGTTTTGAGAACATCCACTTGCAGGCAAACAGAGAACAGCAGTGCTCTGCCTCTGGGCTTGATGTTGAGCTGGGAGGAGGTGGCGTGGTGTTTAGACAGAGAAATGATGCACAAATGGTGTTTAGATGTAGAAATGGTGCACAAATGGTGTTTAGACAGAGAAATGGTGCACAAATTGTGTACAGATGTGGAAATGGTGCACAAATGGTGTTTAGGTGTAGAAATAGTGCACAAATGGTGTACAGACATATAAATGGTGCACAAATGGTGTACAGATGTAGAAATGGTGCACAAATGGTGTTTARATGTAGAAATATTGTACAAAGCCTTATTGCTCACTCCTACTGTGGGTATCTCACAGATAACTGGGCTCCTGGGCTTCTCAGAAGGACCCTCCAACCCTGCCTCTGCATCTCTGATGCACGGCAATAAATCCATTGGCACAGACAGCCAGGTTCCCTTTGTAAATTTGGGGCTGGTGTTCTTTTCTGTGACWGTCTTGTCTCTCTTCATCTCCTGTCTTCATATCTGGTTTCCTCCTGTTTTCAAGGCCCGAGAGGAAGAGGTGAGGAAGAAGTTCCGGCCCATAGAGCAGTTGAAGGAGGAGTTTGAAAAGCTGAACATGAAGATGGAAACAGATTATGAAATTATGGTTAAATTAATCAGCAAATTCAACAGCTCTGCCTCCAYGCTGGATGAAAAAGTAGCAGCGCTTTATGATCTCGAATATTATGTTCACCAGGTAACAAGAATGCATCAGTAACTACCGTGTAAAATCCAGGGGATACGGTGTCATAAACGGGGTTTTATTTTTCTTATCGGTATCAGGTAATACAAATTGCTTAATTACCATAATGCTGGRACAATAACAGACAGCAGAGGGCTAGTGCAGGCTTATTTTATATCCAGGCTTGAATTAATCATCGCTCATGCCAGGAGCCAGCAGTATCCTAGGGGTGCCTGATTTACTGTCTGTTCTCGGGCTGGTTTTCTTATCCTCTCTTTTTCCTCTTTTATCTGCTTAATGTTACAAAATGGGGCTTTAGCTGCTGTTTTTGGGAAGTAGAGTGGTGGCTGCTAAGCAAATAATTATTTTCTCGCTTCTTCCATGGAAAGCCGCTTTGGTTGAAGGTAGTTGCCCTTACATCAGTTCACAGAGAACATCTTTGTACCAGGGAAGGCGACAGCCACCCYGAACCCTGTTTTGTCTTGGTGTGAGTGAGCAGTGGCATGCAGAGCCTTGCYGTGCTAATTAGCTCTGTGTGAGGGTGAACATATTTCCTGGCACCTCACTTCCTCAGGGTTGTGCTCACACTTTTCCCCCCTCCCTCTGATCTCTCTTGCTCTGCTTTCAGCTCACACACTCCTACCTCCCCTTGGATGCAGCTGCAGGCACAGAGCTCTCCTCYGCTGGGCTTGGTGCCTTCCTTGGTGCCAGCCCTGGGAGGGTGTCTGGGCATGAAGGCGAGGCTCTGCCTTGTGGGAAAGGACTCGGCTTCTCCCTCCCCAGTGACTGGGAGAGTCTGGGGTGCACTGGGAGAGTTTCCAGTGTCACTTTGTCATTGCTGAGAGCCAATGGGACAACTCCTGGGAGGTGCCAGTGCAAGGCCCTGCATTGGAATGGCACTTGTTAAGCCAGATGAGGTATTCTGGGGGCAGGTAGCTGAAGTGTTCTGCTGAGAGGGAATCCGTGTGCCAGCTGATTGGAGTGCTATTTCCAGGGCTCTTTGTCTTGCATTCCCACACTAAACCTCTGTTGTGGGCATGCAGAGGCTTCCTTGCTGTTTGTTCTCCCTGCTTTTGTGTCACTGCCTGCATCTGTGTGACTCAGAGACTGAGTGTGAACAATGGGCACCCAAAGAGCTTCGTATTTATACTCAGGGCTAATCTTGCCTGATTAAGATGCCAGAGCATCAGGCCAGCTGCTGAAAAGCAACCCCCAAACACCCTGGGATGCTTTGGGTTGAACTATTGCAGCAGAAAATCCTCGCAGCACAGGATGGGCCAAACAATTTCAGAACGGCAAGAGGAGCAGGGCCTGGAGCATCAAAGGGAAGCACATCCAGCATCAAAGGGGTCAGAGAGGGGGAATGGCAGGGAGGCTGGCGGGAGCACAGAGGCTCCTTTGTGCGCCGATCACAGCGCTGCTCTGTGCCCGCGCTGTCGGGGCAGATGGCCGGGCAGCACCTTCTCGTCAGGCAGGAAGCTGATAAGAAATATGACTTGTCTCTAAGCCAGCATGGCTTTTCCTCCTCTTTCTTCTTCCAGTCAGTTGAATGCGTCCAGAGCATTATCTCTGCTTGGGACTCACTTTAGCAGCACTGGCTTAATGTAATTACTGAAYAGCAGCCAAAGGACGCTTGTGCCGCATAACCCTGGAAGAGCTGAGCTGTCAGAGCTTCTCTGCAGTGAGTCACAGCCATGCCGTGGGAGCACAGGGACCCTTGCAGGTGTAGGTGGCCCAGGCCACATGTGGGACCACTTTGTTGCTCCCACCTTCCCCAGCCTCCATCAGAGCGGTACTGTGGCTTTTCAGAACTGCTCAGCTCCCAGCCACGCTGCTGCCGCCTCCRGGGCACAGAATGCCCTGTCGAGTGGAAAATGCCATGCGCTGGAGGGTGTGCAAGCTAAGGCTGCTCCCTGCTCCGTGGCGTGGCCGTGAGCAGCCTGGAACGGCGGGTGTGCCTCGGAGTGGGAGCCGCGGCCGGTGCCGAGCCTGTGGAGAGGCTCTCTGCTTCTCAAGAGTCAGCCCAAGGGCTCTGTGTTTGCTCAGCTTTTGGTTGCCAGCTCTGGTTTGCTTCTCCTCGGTCACGATTCAGCTTGGCATGTTCGGGAGCCTGTCTTGGAGAAGGAACAGGAGGGTTTGGCTTGCTGGGTTATCTGTAACGCATAAAACCCAAATGCAAATGTGGGGAGGGCAGAGCGTAACTCATAAACAGCATTCACGGTGCTTGCACAGCAGTGTGTGGAGCCAAGACCCCTTCTCAGGCATTTCAGGCTCTTTCTCTCAATTATTTACTGTCCTTATCTTCCTCTCTCCTCTCCTCTGACATGCTGCACTATCTCTCACCGCTAATTTCCTCTCCATCGCGTACGGTTGACATGCTGCTTTCCTTGCTTTTGTTTTCGAACATTTTCTCTCTCACCTTCCCTCGCTATTTTCTTTCTCCTCCAATTCAAACTTGCTCCCTGAATAACTGCTGTCATATTTGCTCTTCTCCCAGCCTCTCCTCGCCTGCTTTGCCTGTGTACTTTACTCAAGAGCTCTTTTGATCTTTGGTTTTTCTTCTGTGCCGATTTCAGTGGACTGAAGCGAGGTAGGAGCTGCTGCCTCACAGCAGCCGCCGCTCCCCAGAGAGGTTAATACCTTCAAGTTGTTAAGTTTGGGGATTTTATTGGTTTTAAAACGGTGAGTGAGGGAAGGCACTCTCACAACAGACTGGGTAAAAAAGATAAACACATCTTCAGAATAAGCTTTGCAGCACAATTTATATTCTGCAGTTGAGGTGTCTCACTCACRCTGGGGCAGCACGAAGGACTCCTTCGGGTGCTGCTGAGGTCTCAGCAATGGCTGGTTTTACCCCACCAGGGGCTGGATACAAATTCCTGCCTGTCCATACATTCTCTCTTGTGCAAAGTCAATGCCCAATTCCAGCACTAAACCAGTTTTTGCAGAGGCTGAGTAATAAAAGGACCCACTGGCAGCTGAAATTGGGTTGCTGCATAGATTTCTTTGTAGACAAAGATGGATCTGCAGAAAAATGAGAGATCTGGCAGGCCTGGTTTATAGAAACAGTTAAAAGAACAGCATCTGAAAGGACACAAAAGCTGCTGCAAATCCTGAATCAGCCCCAGCAGACCTACAGAGAGCAGCTTTGCAGAGGGGCAGCGAGTGGTGGGTATTGTCCCGTGGGGGAGCAGAGATGAGCTGMAGCTCCCCAGGTCCTGCTTTGGTTGGTAACAACATACCCGTAGGACACAAAGCTTCTTCCTTCCCCTGGCTACCTAAAATACCCGACTTAGGGCCAGTTTTGATGAAGGTACATGGTTGAGATAAATATAACACTGAGCATGAAGTCATTGACTAGAAGAGTGTCCCATGTGCCCTGCACGGCTTGTGGTGTTTGTCCTGTCCTACCCCCTCAGGGGGTCAGTTTGCCCTGCTGATAACTCYTTTTAACTCRTTTTTATATTCTGTTTCCATCTGCCAACGACTGCTGTTGTCTCCCTGTCTTTCAGGGAGGAAAAATGTTTAATTTCTAAACCTGATTCTTCTGTGCAGGCAGTTCTGAGCATTCATCAAATCCCCTTTTAAGCTGAAAAAAAAAATCATTGAATACCAAAACGTATCGATTTGACTTTCGACTGAATTTTGTACTTGAAGTACTTTATGCTGTTTCTCTAAATTTTGTCTGTGAACACTCAGAGCCTTTTCTGATCTCCTCTCCAAGAGCAGATGCCCACTGGGACTGTGCCTGGCTACCCCTGATKGAGTTAGAGCCAGAGGCTGATGAATCCCTACCAATGGGTAAACTTTTCCCTAGTGGCAGTTAATCCATTATTATTTGCTTAGAAAAGGCATCGTGGGGTTGCTCTGTGGGAAAGCTCCTGGCTGACCCCTCCAAGYAGGACTGGCTTTTTCTCTCCTTGTCCATGTGAAGCTGTTGATGGAACTCATGAAGARCTCCCAGAGCTGCCCATGCTACTCACTGCAATGCCACCTGAGTACCCTGTTGGTGTTGAAAGGCTCCTAAACATCCCTGATTCCTGGTGCTAAAATTACAGCATCAATTAATTAATTGCATTTGCAAAACATGCAAGTCCCTGGGTCCCCAGCAAAGGCCTGCTCAGGTGAGAGCAAAAGAGCTGGAATTTTTTTGACATCAGCAAATGTACGGAGTTTTGACACCACCTGAGTTATTGAAATACGTGTCAAGAGCACTTTTGATAGCTGTAATCAAAGTATTTGAGTTTCCAGCAATGCAGGTGACAATGTCCTCCCTCCCACGGGGACACGGTGCCTGCTGGAGCTGTGACATCGCTGCTCACGGGCAGGACTGCATGGAGCTCAGCCACAGCCGCTCCCTCTGCAGCTGTCATTCCTTCCAAAACTCCGTGCTGGTGAAACCAGGAGGGGAGGGATGCTGTGCTGTGCAAGGGAGGTGCTGCCCGAGGGCTGSTGCTCCATGCTGAGAGGTTCTGCTCTCTCGCAGGTGGACAATGCCAAGGATTTCCTGTCCCTGGGCGGGCTCCGGCTGGTGATCGAGGGGCTGAACAGCAGCGAGGCCACGCTCAAGGAGCACGCTGCCTTCGTCCTGGGAGCTGCCCTGTCCAGGTGAGAGCTGCCCTGTCCAGGTGAGAGCTGCCCTGTCCAGGTGAGAGCTGCCCTCAGCTGCCCTCTGAGCCTCTCTCCATCTCTCTGGTTTATTCCTGACAGCAGAGATTGAAAGTTTCTCTTGTCCTGTGACATGCCACAAAGTCCTGTACCCCAAAACTGTCTTGTCCCYTGCCCAGCCCTTGCAATGCCCCTTACTCTGAACTTCTCTTCAGCCCATCCTCATTCTGCTCGTTAGACTTAGCCAGAAGTGATTTGGTGTCAAATCTAAGATTGTTTCTTGATTTCTCTGGGTTTCCTGTTTGTACCAAGTCCAAGGGGGGAATAATTCTGCTTCTCTCCCCTTCTCCAGCCCTCTCTGGGGAAGATGCGGAGGAGGGCACAGTTGTGAACACCCCAGCAAGCACCTTTGTCCCTCCTCTTCCTTCTCCTTGCTTAGGATGGCAAGATGCTGTTTTGAGCAGCTCCCCTGGTCTTTGGAGCAGGGTTTGAGCTCCATGAACATGTACCTCTGGCACCAAAGTGCTGTCAGTTAGACACAGGCTCAGGAATAGGGTCAGCAGCCAGAATCCAGAGCCTGCAGGATGTTTGAGAGTCACAGGAAGGAGCCCAGCCTGCCTCATGCTGGGGCATCATGTGTAGTGCTGCAGGAGGTACCCTGTGGGCTCCAATGGGGTTTTTTTTTGGTCCCCTCTTTCGATTTATGGGTTTTGGGGCCTTACAGGGAGTGTTTTGCATATTCAGAGGTGCAGAGGCTTTAGAAATGCATAGGATGGACTCAAACTTCACGATCAAAAGTGCAGAGTGAATATTGAAGGTCAGAACTCTTTTATCTGCATGTTTCTACTCCTGAAAATACTTCACCAGCATCATCAATTATTTATGGCTTACTCTAACATGGTCCCCGGACCTGCATTTGTTTGGCAATTTTGGCAATCTTGTACACAATGTAGCTGGCCCTCAGCACGTGTGAAGTAACAGGGCCTCGTGGACAGAAGCAGGTACCCACATTTACACCAGGAAAGGATCCAGCTTGTAGTGTGAAACAGAGCCTGACTTRGTGATGACAGGAAGATAAATCAGAAACAGCACCTGCTCCTCATATTCTGGTGTATTTTAATCTTTGAAACAATCCTGGAATGGTTGCCTCAGGTTCTTCAGTAGCATGTGGACTCTTAATTGTATGTTTCATACAGTGAAGATCATACAGAGGGTCTGGAAACATTTGCAGGTAACTTGTGAAATGGCAGGGGCTGTTAAAGAGCTTGTCTCCCCATGYAGCTGACATGTCATGGTCAAGACTGCAAAAATTCATTGTCTCATGGTACATGATGGTGTAGCAGTGGCCATGAGAGTCATGCTTTTGTGCAATATTTCTCATTCAAGTGCAAAAGCCTTCTTTGGACAGACCCTCTCATCTGATGTGAAAACATTAAACTGCTGCTTTGGGAACTTTTAGACCTTTTYTCTTTGAAGGACATTCTGGCAGATGGTAATTTGGAATGCTTTGGATGATACATTGTCCATTCCAAAATATGAGGGATATTCTGCCTGGCTTTGGGTTTGCTTTTTTCCCCTTGCTGTGCTGAAGTTTTCTCAGTAGACACCTACATGCCAGCTTGTCTGCTGTGTGCTCTCTGCCTAATTCATTTGTTCATACATTTTCTCAGCTTACTCCATGCTCTAGTTAAACTGGTGGGGGCATTTCAGGTACTTCACACAGCATTTTGTGTTTTTCTCAGGGCTTGTTGTTTATTTCTTTCCCTCCTGGTTGTTCCTAGGAGCCTCAGCAAGGTAGTAGGGCTTTCCAGTAATTCCCAGAGGTGTCACAGCTCACTGGGCTGCGGGGACATGATCTGCTCTGTGCCTGTGTGCCTGGGGCTGGTGTCAGGTCCTGTGCTGGATGCTGAGCCTGGGAAGAGGCAATGCTCTGCTGCTCTCCAAGTGGGTCTGTGGCCACCTCCCGGGTCTCCTCAGCCAGGCTGGCTCAGGCCAGCGGTTTCAAGGCAGGCAAACATTCTCAGAGGGAAAGCAGGGCATGATGATWGCAGCTCCAGAGCCTGGCATGGGAGGTCAGTGAGTCCTGGCACAGCTCAGGCTGGAAGAGGGAGTTCGGCGTTGTCTGCATACAAGTGTTTAACACAAGAGGAAACCACTGAACACAGCGATTTCAGATGTGCTTGGGGCAGTTTCAGATGCAGAACTTTCCAGCTCTCAAAAATACCCTTGTCCTTAACTCCATTCAGGTAGTGAAGCAGGTAAGGGATGGAGCAAGCAGCTGCAGCACCCAGGTCCTGCCAGGAGCTGGCTCAGAGCTCTGGCTGTGCTGAAAGCCCAGTGGAATAAAAGGGTTTTCCAGGGGATCAGCATCTTGAGCCAACAGGCCAGGTGGCTGGCCAAGACTTGGATCAGCAAAGGCAGGAGGAGGAAAAGGCACAGGAGGGCCAGCTCAGGATTTCTCCTTCCTGATATTGCTCCTATTTCTTTGGCTCAAAGCAGACTTGAAAAGCAGCCACAGCACAGCATGATTTGGACCTCAGGGCACAGGGTCCTGGGGTCCAGCTGCCAGGGTCTGACCTGGCATCCATCTGCTTCTGTGAGCCTCTGCCACAGAAGAGGCAGATTCCTTCACCTGACAGRAAGGAAATCAAGATTTCATCTCATGTTTCTCTTATACGTCCTTCACTTCAGGCATTTGGGTTTTAATCGCTGCGTCTGTGACCAAATCAAACATCGTTCCATCTGGTGGAGTTCTCTGAGCAGTGCCCTTATTGCAAGTCTAAAACCTCATCACAATCTTACTGTTTTTAAGCCTTTAACAAAATGTTTTCCATTCAGCAGTTTGCAAAAGTAAACTTCATTTGAACAATCCTCAAGTGCTCTGATTGCAAATAAAAGTTAAATGCACTAACAAAAATAATTGCTAGGCATGTGGGGTTGTACATTTAGGTATCCATAATTCACTAACAGTATATGCCAATACACAGCATTATCTGGATTTCCAGTGATTGCATTAGCATAAAAGCATGTTAGCATTTATCCTGTGGTACTAACATTTAAATATATATAAGTATGAAATATTAAGATCTAGCATTTTGGAGGCAAGCGAAACTACTGTCTGTAAAATGTTCTTGCATATTTTGAAGGTGCACTCCAGTATCTTCGGATGACAATCAGCATTCGCACCATTGGGTCCAAACATTACAAAAATGTCAATGTTTTATGCAAAGAGGAGCTATATTAAGCAAAAAAAAAAAAAGATTGCTGATGAGAGAAGTGTCTTCTAATGTCCTCTGAGCTATTTACAGGCAGCATCTCTCTTTGTTCGTGGCACAGCCAGGCCTCTGTGCAATCTCTATCTCCATGTTTCACAAGACTGGCAATGTTAGCCAGAAAGGATTATGCTTGTGATTAAAACCTCCATTTTTTAAAACTTCACCTACAGGAAACATTTTTCCACACCAATAACTTGAACATTTTAGTATTTTGTAATAAAAGGATTGTTGTAATCCGTTTAGAAGGCGAATAGTAATTTATGTTGAATGCCTGCTTGAAGCTTTATCCCAAATGCTCCCTGCACTTAGGGGTGAGTTGGAGGTGAGGATGGAGAGAAGTTAAGCTGTGGGACCTTCAAGGCAAAGGGAAGCAGTTTGCATTTCGTGGGGAGAAGGCAGAAGGCTCAGTAGGTGAGATTTTGGYCTGGCCAAAGTGGGGAACTGGGGGGCAGCCATTTGTGCAGCTGCAGTGAGAGTCTCATGATGTTTTGGCCAGACCTTTAAAAACCCATCCAGTGGGGTGATGGGGGACAAGGATGTCCCACTGATGGTCTGAGCTGGCATTTGCTGTGTGTCCTGGAAGGTCACAGGGCAGTCCCAGCAGAGCCTCTGCCCCCAGCACTGCTGGGGTCTGTCTCACCGTCCCCTCTTGGCCCTGAGTGCAAAAATAAATGTCACAGGACTTGGCGAAGGCTTGGGAGTAAACTCACCACAGTTGACAACTGAAGCACCATCCTGTAGCAGCAGACAGGAGTTTCCTATGGATTGCCTTGAGCATTTCCCAGAGATGAAACCCCTAAAGGATGGCCACATGCATCCTGAACACCCCATTCAACATTAGTGGTGTCACCCAGCTCCGAGGCTCGTTCAGAGCTTGCCCCACTTTGGGAAAGCCAAGAGAGGCATAAAATATGTTTGCTTCTCAAGAGAAGCCTCAGAGGAGCTCCCTGAGCAATGGGATCTGTTCCCTCCTGCTGTGCTGGGGGGTCTTAGAGAGCTCAGCATCCTGGGGTTCACCTGGTTTCAGTTCTGCTTTCTCACTGTGTGTCYTGAGGGGAGAGGGATGTAGGAATGCTGTCTCGTGCTGTGTCCATCAGAATCTTGGTGGGGCCCRTTTTCTCAGGGGGCACAACTTCCCTGCTCTGTTGGAGGAGCAGCAGCTCCTTCAGGACGCCTCTGGCAAGAGGAAAGAGCTTCCACAGATTTAARGGGTTTGAGTCAGGTCCAGCTGTGCTCTGATGCTGGTTGGTGCTCACTGGTGTTAAATAACACTGAGGCCCAAGCAATAAACCCAGGAAAAGTAAAATTAAAGACCTTGCTTTGATGCTGTCTTGTAAGGACATAAGAATTTCTGTGCAGAGAAATAAATCTGGTTAGCTTAACAAGCACTGTCCCTWCCCATTTATTTCCAATCCATCTTCATCCCTTCCTCCTCCAGCTTCTCCTTTTACATCATGCAGTATTTGCCCATCTCTTTKTCCCCTTTCCCTGAGTTTTTCAGTGCCCTGTTTGCCCACACCATGTGTTTGCCATCTTCCAGTTGCAGTTATTCMAGCTCTACTCCTTAACTGCTTATAATTTCTTCCTTTGTAGATTGTCTCCTCTGTTTTTATTTGAACTCCTGACTTGTGTGGAGTTATCAGCCTCACTGCACTTAATTTCAAATTAATTTGATTGGGTCACCTCAATTTTTTCCTGTAATGATAATGAACTCAACCTATTTAG